TCTTTTCTACTAAGAGTTTACTTTTAATAAAGAGAGTCAATTATACTCAGCACCTAAAACGTTCTCAACTGTCTAAAATTTGGAAGCTGAATGTTGGCCTTCTATAGTCGACTCTTGAAGGCTCTAAAGTCGAATTTAGCACCTTAGATTCAACTCTTTACTGCTCAAGAGTCTACTCTTCATGTAGAGAGTTGATTATGCCATGAACCAAGATGTTCCCAACTCTTTGGAATTTAGAAGTCGAATGATGACCCTCTATAGTCGACGCTTAAAGGCCCAAAGTAGAATCTAGCTCCTTAGATTCGACTCTTTACTACTCAAGAGTTGACTCTTTATGTATAAAGTCGACTTTGCCCTACATCAGGATGTTCCCAACTCTCTAGAATTTGGAAGTCGAATCTTTACCATCTATAGTTGACTCTAGATGCATCAAGAGTCAAACATACAATCTTAGAGTCGACTCTTGATTGGATGTAGAGTCAACATTGCAATCAAGATTCAAATATTGCTACATCCCCAAATATTGCATTAAGTCTTCTTGCACTTTAATGTTACATTACTTGCAATGTCATGTATGATCACTGATTGGTATATACTTTAATTCAACACACATTGCACAACACATAATAAAAAATTATTGTTTTCTAATTTCAAATTAAAGACAAACAAATTTAAAAATATAGTTATACATACAAAACATCGAAATAAATTGTATCAAACTATATTTATATTATATTTTAAGTTAAACCATTAATTTGGTCCCTCAACTATTGTATGAATCCCTTAGTTGGTTCCTGAACTAAAAAAATTTCTAATTTGATCCCTAAAATTTCTAAATTTAACATCAAGTTGGTTCTTACATACAAAAACAACTAATGTGTCTCGTCTCTAACATAACACGTGACAATCAATTAATGGTGTTCTGTTGTCACGTAACGAACACATCAATCATTTTTTAATGGAAGGATCAACTTGAAGTCAAATTTAAAAATTTTAGGAATAAAATCAAATAATGTTTTTAGTTCAAGAGACCAATTCAAAGGTCTGTACAATAATTAAAGGATTCAATTGAGGGTTTAATTTATATTTTAATAATTAAACTAGATAAATATCAAAAAAAAAAAAAACATAAAACTAAATGTATACCAATTGTTTTTCGAACCAAATATAATGACTTTATAAGTCAACAAGGGTAAAAAAGCAGCAATAGCCATCACATGAAGTTTTGGGGACCAGACAGTCCGGGCCCGGATCCCAAAGATCAGTATGAAGAAATAAAGAAATCAAGAGGACCACAAGCCTAAACCATTGACAAACTAGAAGGCAACTTATGATTTTTAGAATAAGGCAGGGTTTACTAGTCTTAAAACTTGCATTGCTCAAAAGATGTAACTGAAAATTCCTAACAACTTTATCTAAAATGTGTAATGCAAGATGATCTAGGTGCAAACGCCAATCTAATATAGTTGCCCGTCCACCAAGAAAGGCTTAAGTTTGAGGTCTTGAAGCACTTGTCAATATTGAAACCTGATACCCACCACTTTTATTTGGTCCATGCAGTAGAATCACCCACTAAATGACCCACCACCTTTATTTGGTCCACGCATTAGAATCACCCACTAAACAACCCTTCATATGAAAATAGTTGAGTGAAATTCAATCAAGACGTTATTAGTCTCACAAAATTTAAAAATAGATATTAAATTACAGAAAATAAAAGGGACGCAAAGAATTAGGAGAAGAAATTTGGGTTTCACTGACATTAGTTATTCTCAACCACCCCGAACCATCACCAATTAGCAATTGATCAAGACCATCATATTGAGAGTAAAGTGAGAGATTAGGAGAAGTAATATGATGCGAAGCTCCAAAGCCCAAAATACATTCTTGATTAGAAGCAGTAAAGGAGGCAACGTACTCAATGAGCAACAGGTACCAGTGGTATCACTATAAATTTACAGAATCGAGCCATGGGACCAAATCGACCACAAAATTGACACTTGCTAGGAAACTTGCCACGAGCAAGATTATTGCAGCCATTATAACCCTGAGAATTAGTAGAGGTTTCTGAAGCAGAAAACCCATAACCAACACATGCATGTACGGTCACAAGGAGGGGAAGAATTCTGTCCAAGAGAACAAGTGACTGCACCGACTTTCTTGAAAATTAGGGGCAGAGTCAGCAGAATGAGAGGAAATACCATCAAATATTTGACTTATTTTGAAAATAAGGGGGATTGTTAGTGATTTTTAAAATAAATAGAGTAATTAATGTACCAAATGACTTCTTTTGAATCTTTGAATAGAAACATTCTTTCACATAATAGCTTTACATTCACTAGCGAATTATTAGTTTAAGTGGAAGGAGTTTGATTTTTTTTAAATAGATTTTCGAATTCAAAGTTTGTAAATAAGAAGATAAGTATTATGAAAACTTCTTTTTATATGAGATTTTGACGTGATTGAACTTTAAATTAATTAAAATTTATTGTGAGTTCCAAATACCAAGGATTTAGAGAAAAAAAAAAAAAGCGCCTTGCATTCTCAATTCCTCACTACTTTCATGAAACTAAACTAGCCTTGCATTCTTCAATTCCTCACTACTTTCGTGAAACTAAACTAGCCTTGCAGCATTCTCCAATTCCTCACTACTTTCGTGAAACTAAATCATCCCTCGTATTTAAAGATAATTCCCCTTTTTTTAGTGAGTGTTCAATGTTTCAGTGCAAGACGTGCATCATTAGGCTTCACTCTTTGTCCTAATGCTTTCTGTCATTAACCCGTTCATATACCAAATTTTGGATTTCCGTTTTTTTTTTTCTTTTTTCTTTTTCTTTTTCTTTTTCTTTTCTTGCAAGTCGATCATATCAATCATATGCTTTTTTGCCACCAGAATGCTAGTCGTGGTTAAGGCTACATGCCAAAATGTTAAAGCTGCGCAAATTATAATTTTTTTAAAAAAATAAAATTACATTTTAGTTTATTTTTTTATTTTTAATTGACAAAAAATCTTTTATTAAAGAGGTATAAAGAATACCTTAACCCGTTATGCCCCTCTAATATTTACATTAATCCAATATCCAAAAGACTTGAGATTTTAAGATAGGCAAATAAGGAAGGGTACTCAAGATTGTTGATAAAAAAAAAAAAGAAAAAGACAAAACAAAAAAAAAAAAAAAGAAGAAGAAGAAGAAGAAGAAGAAAAAGAAAACTTGAGATTTTAAAATATGAATGCAACATACTAGTTACTTGAGTTAGATGCACATAAAAACTTAAGATTTCAAGATGAGCAAAATAAGGACTTGAGATTTATATTAAGTGTACATAACTACTTGAAATTACATGAAATATTTTAAGTAATTTTTTTTTTTCTTTTCATTCTTTTAAGTTAGGATACTTGAGCAAATTTCAAGTATTTCATATGTTTATACGCATATTTAACATCTTGGGTTTTTTATCAACCCACGTCCAAAACCACATGTATATTATATACAC